TCTCCTTACTCGTGCCTTGTGTCCATAGTCCCTTGAAGACAGAGGCAGAAACTATATCATACACATGTATGAGTTTGGGCAGATAACTGAGCCTCAAGTGTCTCCGATTTTACTCCCTATCCAAAGGCAATAAGTAGAATTTACTGCATAGAATTGTAACAATTTACATTTAATATCTAGAGCCATACATTTTAGCAGCAATGGGTTACTACATATATTTAATTTTCAAAAGTGTCTGGGTCAGAAATATCACTTAAAAAAAATCAAACGGTGAATGATGCTTTAAAAGTATTTTGGATCCCAGTCAATATTGGATGTTTTTCATTTTCCTTCACAGAAAGACCCATAGCAGAAACATGGATCTAAAACACTGTAGCATATAGAGAAATGTTGGAAAATTGAGGACCTCTGTTAGTTTCTTCTCATTTCTTTGTGTACACAGCAGAGGCTCAGTAGGGGAGAAGGAATGCATTTGGGCTCATGTTTCAGAGAGAACAGGACATCATGGTAGGGAAGACAGTGTTGGGGGTAGCCTGGTCTATGATGGCACAGGCATACAGCAGGTGCTTATTCCACAGGATCAGCCAGAAAGCAGAGAGCACTGGCTGGCCTTTCACCATCAAGCTCCACCCCTTCTGCCTCCTAAGGTTCACAACTGCTCAAAATACCACTACCAGATGGGGGTCCACATGTTCATACATGTGAAAAAAATGCATGGCCTGTGAAGAACACTGTATATTCAAGCTGTAAAAGACACACACACACACACACACACACACACACACACACACTCACACGCACACTCACACACACACACCTGAAACTTTCTGAAGCCTTGCTACTCTGAACTGTAACTGTGAGTTCTCACTCAGCCCCCCACATCCTGTTCACACAACTTTATCATCTGCAGTATATACGCACTATATGATGGGTCTCTTATAACACACATTCTTTAATTTGCTTCCCACTGACACATCCAAATACCCTCTGATCCTCCTTCCATTGCCCAGCAAACTCCCTCCCAGGACCTCATTTCCCATGAGTCTCCCTAATGCTGCCAACAGACCATTCCAAATCCTCCCTTGCCACAGGACAAAGGCTGCACAGATGTGGAGGGAGCTGGCACTGGGAATGCTAACAGCACTGTCATCCTGTCTCAGCGGGATGGGAGTTCTTTCTCTCTGGGACCAGAGGCAGAAAAAAAAAATGGGGGGAGGGTGGTAGAAAAAAAAACACAGAAAAGAAAGACTGAAGTCAGAAAAATGGGGAAGACAAAATACCCTATTGAAATAAAGAGGAAATGCGTGAGTGGGGTTTCTATCTGGGGAAGCAGTAGGGGGCAGTGGGATGGACACAGCGAGAATAAAAACAAAAGACCAAAATGCTGGGTAGTAAAGGAAGAAAAGCACACAAAAGTCTTGGAGGGGTGAACTAGGGGGAGGCAGCCAGTAAAAATGATGGTTGAAAGGAGCTGAAAGGCAGGGACCACTGAGAGAGTCTCTACTGGAATCCCTGGGTCCACAGCCTCTGCACTGTCTCTGGAATTGTTCCCCTCAGCCTCCTCTTTATTTGCTTTCAGGCCTTGAAATGCCCAGATTCCAGCTTTTTCTTTTTCAGTAAAAGAACGCAGTGTTTTGCATGTCTGAGAGAAGTCTAAAGTAAGACATCTCCTATGGCTTTCTCAGAACACACCATACAACCCACTCATATCTCCTAGCCCACAGCCGTCTTAAAGGAGCCTCTGAAGGGAAGGGATTGGTGGGCTTGAGATAACTCATCTCTCAGGAATCTGGATCAGAAGGCGTCCTCCTGACTGCAGATCACACTCCTCTCCCTAAACATCCAATGAAGAGACAAAGCAGAGTGGAGCCCAGGGCAGGAGGGATGCTGGGAACTGAGGACCAACTCAAAGAACCACACAGAATATGACTTAGGTGCGTTGAAAGAGCCGAGCAGTTCCTCAGAGCCATGGTCAGTAAAGACTGAGTACTGTCAGAATGTGGCAGGACAAGACAGTCCCTCCATCTTGTATCCTTGCTTAGTCTATTTCCTATTTAACTAGAATTTGATCTCCTTGATAGAGAATCCTGTGGAAAATTACCCAACCAAATGTATTCTAGGACCCGAGGCCACTACGCCCCACCTAACTCCTCTTAGCCCCTGTTAAATTGCTTGCTTGTGCAAACCTCCTGCTGCAGCTGCTGAGTGAAATATTAAGATGTAGTTTTCGCCTTTAAAAGCCACTTGGTCCAAATGCTTGAGGTTACACTTAGATCAGAAATACGAGAGTAAGGTCCTGGTTGTTTGGAATAAAGACTTTTCAATTGGCTCTAAACTGTGTTGCGTAATCATCTGTGGTGGGCTCCTGGTAACAAGGTCTTTGAAAAAACTGTGGGATTTTTATTATCTGAAGCCACTGGAGAGACTCCAGTCAAGCTGACACATGCATACGAACAGGCTCCTCAAGAGTTTTTTTTAGCCTAAACATTTCTGTTATTTTCCAGTACTACCAGCAACATTAAGTCAGAAGAGGTTATATCAGTATGTAGAGAGCTCATTAAAAACTGTGGACCAAGTATGCCCAGGGTAATGCCTTCCATTTATCTCCTTCAGACTTGAAGTGCCCTGTGCTTTAAAGGGCTTTCTATCATTTCAGAGTAGTGAATAGTTCTGCAAATACAGTTTAAGATTCCAAAATGCACAGGTTAGCTGGGAGTGGGAGAGAACACTTCTAATCCCAGCACTTGGGAGACAGATGGAGGAGGATTGCTACAAATTTGAGGCCAGTCTGTCCAGAGAATTCCAGGCTAGCCAGGACTATATAGAAAGATTCTGTCTCAAATCAAATGGCGATCTTCTGAACTTTGCATAACTGGGGACTTTTCTTAAAAGAAAACAAAATCCATTGATGAGTGTGTCTTTAATTACTGTCCATGTTCAATATTTCAAATTTTGCTTCTGTTCCTTCTCAGCTTTTTGGAGAAATTGCCACAGAAAACAGAATAAGACCAAAGTGTGTGTGTGTGGGCAGAAATCATGCCACTATGTCATTTGCAAGTCTTGCCCTGAAGTGGTGGATGATCAGGAGAGCAGAGGAAGAAATGGAGCCTGCACCACAGCTCATCCTTCTAAGACAGTCAGAAGTGGAACTACCCAGTGTAGAGGGGAAAGCCATTCTCCAGCACCCACTGCTCTAACGCCATATGCTCTTCTTCCATTGTTCTGACCATAGTTCCAGCCAAGAGTTCAGACAAACTCTTCCAGTGAGAAAGATGTAGGAAGAGGAGTCTGAAATGGTTGGTATTCTAATGTCTACTTTACAAGGCCCTTGCAGAAATTATGTGTTGTGTTCTACACATGCGTCTGACATATTATGTGAGCTTGGTAAATGGTATCTGTGTTATCTGTATGTTGCTTTATAGTTGGATCTCAACATCCACATCCAATTGAATTTATTTGTATACCTAATTATTGTTTTTTTACCCAGCCTGTTAATGCTTGAAAACACTGAATCCATTTTCCTCTGAGTGAAGATTTGCATGAGTCATCCTATAGCAAAGAGTTCCTTTTAGGTACTCTACCTAGACACACTGTAAGAATGAATGAATGAGGGAAGGATTAAGTGGAAGGATGCAAGTGTCCCCAGGTGCACAAAAGGAGAAGCAAAGGGATGAGAGTACTCATTAATGTGCTTACCATCTGCAGCCTATATGTCTGTGCAGAGGAAGCAAGCTTGAATGGCGGGAAAGATGGCCTGGCAGGTAAGAACACTCGTTGTGCAAAGAAAGCAGGCTCCACATCAATGACCCAAGAGACCATTTAGGCTTTCTGTGGGCCTGGGTCTCAATGACTGTCTCTTTCAATTATCCACCCTTTAAAATCTACAAGGGAGCCTTTTCCCCTTTCCAACCCACACCCCGGTTTTCTTCATTTCTAGTCACAGTATAAGCGAGAACTTGAGTGGTGTTCCTTTATATTTCCAAAAGGCTTCTGAAGACAGATGCTAAACCAATAGCCCTCACCATGGGAAAGATATAAGAGCAAACTGGAAACCCAGTTAGTACACAACCTGGAAGGTGGGGTTGGCTGGCCACACAGGACAAGGCGGCAGCAGGCATTTTTCAGGAGAATGAAGTGTGAGTTGGGGAAAACATAAAGGAGAATCGAACAGCAAAAGCTAAGAAACTAGAAAAATTGGATAGGACAAACACAGGGATCTGCAGAAGAATCAACCACAAACACAGATTACCCAGCTGGGTCCAAACAATTTATAAAAAGTTCTACAAAATAAAGACAACAAGGCCAGGCCTCATTTTGTTAATGAAAATTTAAATGAAAGTAAATTAATTAAAATAGGGACTGGAGAGATAGCTCAGTGGATAAGACTACTGGCTGCTCTTGCAGAAGCGGAGGGTTCAAACCCCTTATCACACAGTGGCTGACAGGCATCTTTAACTCCTGTTCCAGGGGATCTGATTCCCTTTTCTGACCTCTACACGGACCAGACACACACATGGTTAAACAGGCATACATTCAGGCAAAAATATCAATACAATAGAAATAAATGAAGATATAAATTTTTAAAATAATTTAATTAATCTTATTTTAATTATTTATTTTTGAGATAGGGTCTTACTATATAGCCTTGGCTGGCCTAGAACTCACTATGTAGACCAGGTTGTCCTCAAACTCACAGTAATCCACATGACTCTGCTTGCTGAGTGCTGAGATTGAAGGCACTCACCACAGTATCCAGCAACAAAAACAGTTTAGAAAGCTTTTAAATTTTAAATCAATTTCTTCCCCAAATGCTTCCCCTTTATACATTTGGATATAAAAATTATTTATTTTAATTGCTTGGTTCAGATGCCCTACCTGTACCAACAATGAGTATCAGAGAAACAACTGGTGAGTGTTACATTTGGAAGACCTCGTTGAGTGTCAGTACGAACAGTGCTATCTGGAATTTCATGGTGATCCCTTGAGACTTGCCTACTCACCATGATCAAGGATATACTTCACAATCTCCCCATTGCCGGTCTTAGCTGCGTAGTGAAGTAGTGAACAGTGCCCTGGTCCCTGAATTAGTAAGCTGCCTCCATTCTTATAGCTTTCCATGAGCTGAAAAAAAAAAAACGAGAGAGACACGGGGAAAGAATATCAGCAGCACCCAGAACAAGGATCAAAGCTCCACAAAGTCACACAGAGAAGTCACTTTGTAAACCACAAATGGTTTAAGCCTCAAGAGGACATAGAGAAGAGCTAACCTGATGAAATGCCATCCCTCCATCACTCACACAGGTGGCTAGTGTCATGTAACTCTGGAAAGGGTCTGTCTGCATCAAATAGCTCAAGGAAATAGAAATGTTTGGCTTTCTATCCCCTCTTCTGAGCCTCAAACTCTCAGAAGAAAACTAAAATTTCCTGAGGTTCATCCAGCATTTGTTACAGCAGAAAGAACTTGGCTCTGAGCCTCTAGGCTCCTTTCCCTTGTCTTTAGTTGTTCTTCGACGTGGCATGAACAAAATGTTTCATTTTCCTGTGCATAACATTCATGCAGTATACATGTACACACACATCAATGCATACACTCAGAGGCAGGGCTCCTGTTCCATCCCGATACCTTCTGAGACTCAGGCAATGCATACCTAGGGCTAGAAAATCGTGAACTAATGAGAACCAAAACAACAGTATGAATGTCATTGTTCCTGTATGAGAACAACTAGTAGGAAAGGCCAAGGATTTAGTCACTAGAGAGTAAAGTGGACACATGAAGATACAGACAGAGTTCCTGATATATCAAGTATTACCAAATCCAAGTGTGTCACCATTCTCCAAATTGTGGAATACCAGCATAAGAAGAGCCTTGGTGAAGTTCCTCATAGATTATTTGAAGACAAATCTACACACAGAGCCAGTCTCAGGAAAAACTAACACATAAGCAACAATAAAATGACTCAGTCACCATTCTCAATGGCCTCCAAATTCCTTAGGAAGAACAAAAGTGTTGACTGCAAAGAGAGACAGTATAAGGTCAACAGAGGGGTGCCAGGGGAGAAAAAAAAAAGCAGAGTTTCAGAAAAAGCCAAGGAAAAGTAGCTAGAAATTCAACCAAGAAGAGCGATTGATCAGAGGAACTGAAAGCACAGGAACTAAGGGAATCTATATCCCCAAACTCTGGGGGAAGAGAACAGGAAGGAGAATCTTCTGTGTTCAGCTACAACATCTTGCAGATACTGCTGCTTTGTGGGAAGATCCGCTGAGAATGACGATGTGGATGTAGCCAGACCGAGCAGAGATCAGCTGTCCTGAATGTGCCTTTTGGGAAGGTCGCGCACTATGACTAAATGTCATTAGTACTTAACCATGTGTCATGTATCCTCACCATATGGGAGCTCCTGGAGTCCGCTCTACCGTCTTGTGCCATTCCCTCTCCCTCCCTCCCTCTCTATCCTGTCTAACTCCTTTCTATCTCTCTCATAAAAAGCCTGCCTAATATTAAATATGGATAGTGCATTCTGTACACAAGAGGGAAGTAAAAGAAAATTGAGATGAAAGATATATATCTATATATGATAAAAAGATAGAAGTCGATGATAGATAGATAGATAGATAGATAGATAGATACATACATACATACATAGATACATACATAGATAGGAAGGACTGAAAGTAGAAGATAGATAGATGATAGATAGATAGATAGATAGATAGATAGATAGATAGATAGATAGAAAAAGAAATATTGATAGATGATAAAAAAGACAGACAGACAGACAGACAGACAGATAGATAGATAGGACTGAAGAAGAAAGTTCTTCACTCTCTATCCCATCTCGTAGTATATAAGGCATTGTTGAGTCACTCCTCAGACAGTTATGGAATAATTATAATGTAGATCGCGCCAGGATAACCAACTAGACATAATGCTGTCATGCATTTTAAGCAATTCTCTGTAGAATATTTTTAAATACATAACAAGGCACTACAGGATCTGGGGAGTTGTTTGTCTAGAATAAACTCATATGCAAAGAGCTTTAGATTACAAACTGCATTAGAAGTGTTCAAGAGAAGCAGTCGTTCTTGCTTTCCACAGATTCCAAGGTAAGTCTTTTCAGAGTTGTATAGTACTCGTGGATATCCCACTAAAGGGAAATGACCACAAACTCCCAGGAATCCTGTTTAGGGATGAGGATTCTCTTCTGGCTAACAGTGCCCTGGGATACTATAGTGGGAAGCTGTACAGGAAGCACGGTCAGAATCCTATGACTGAGGCTGCAATAACTGACCAATACAGAGCCAATCCTCCCTCTCTCCGCTTTCTGTTAGTAGTGTGCTGAAAGTGTAGAGAAAGCATTCTTTGGTTTATCCAACAGATGTGCTTTAAAATGGAAAGGGAAGGGTGGAGAAGGGGGAAGAGAAGGGAGGAAAAGGGGGAAAGAAGATGAAAAGGAAAAGGGAAAGTATAATATGGAAAAAAGAGAAAAGGTAGTTCTCAGCTTCCTTTTATGGCCTTTGGTGTCCTGTCCTGTCCTGTCCTGTCCATCCATGATGGGAAAGGTATATCCCCCATTCAGAGGCAGCCAGCACTACTGTACAGCACACCAGCACTGTTGGAGACTTGTAGACAGTCATGGCCCCTAGCACAAATTCACAGACTACATCATGGCAAATATTTTTAATAACTATTTTGTTAGAAGAAGAAAACAGGTTAGTACTATACAACAAAACTAAACCAGCTAACATTCTAGGCACTTTCCTATGCAACATGAATAGTATTGGCAGTCTTATTATATGGTTACATCCAGTCCTATGATAAACCAAGGAAGAAATAATACTGTTATCCCATTTCAAAAATAAAGAAATTAAGGCATTGAGAAAATGCGCTGATGGTATAAAACAGTCACAGAGAGTAAATGACAGAGGCAAGATCTGGAATCAGGCAATCTAGCTTTAGCGATGACATCTAACTCCTTGTCAACTAAATCCACCAGAAAATACAAGCACGGGCTGAAATAACCAAAATGGAGTAGACACTTTTTTCTCAGTTGCCATGACTTGTGAAGTGGACCACTATATCAATAGACGCAAGCCCTCACTGGCACGTGCATTTCTGGGTATTATCCAGGCATTCCTTACATATGTATTCATCTCCATACACATCTGAAGAAGAAGCCCTCACATTCTTCAAATGTGCGTCTTAGAAAGCAGAATTCTAGGCACTGTGAGCATTGTATCCCGGGAAAATACAGTCCTTTTGTTAAACTAACCAAAGGCAAGTCCAGGGAATCTACCATACTCCTTTGCTGTTAGAAGTGGGGTGGTGAGACTCATTCTCTCTACTCATTTCTCAAAAGTGGATCTTTCCTCCTTCCTCCTTCCACTCCACAGTAGTTAATAGACTGGATTGTGATAATTCGGTGAATCGTGCTGTTGAATTAACCTTCTTAAAGAATCCCCAACATGTTGGTAGCAGGGTAGCTTACCTTCATAAGGTCACCAGTGAGGACTGCCTGCAAAATTGCTGCGAAAGACAAAAGAGAGATGTCTGATTAGTAGAAGACGCACTCCCTGACAAGCTACAAATGAATGGTTCCATGTTAGGAAGTAAATCGATATGGGAGAAGGAACAGAGTTGCTGTCAAACAGATGAAATTCCCTTCTTCAAGCTCTTTCCTACTCAAGCACCAGTCACATACAGGATTCTAACACTTTCTTGACGGCCCCCCTCTCATCCTGGTACTGCAAAGATAATGTAAAATTTGGAGTCACATTAGATTAAAATCTTAGCTCTGACCTTAAGAGGTGTGGAACACTGGAGAAACCATTTAACCCCATGAGCCTCAGTTGCCACAATTGCAAAAGAGGAAGTGTAGACCCTGTGGGCTAGCTGAAAGGGTTAACACTGTGGCTTCTCCTTTCTTTCCTTGTACTTTGTTCCCCAGAGACTGGGTATGTCTCTGGCCATTTTGATTGTGAATATTGTAGTGGGAAATACTCACTGCCACAGACCAGAGAAAGAAGAGGAAACTGGTACTTGAGTTGTGTTCTATAGAAGATAATCACATGCCTTGCCTTAAATTAATAGGTGTCCGTGATGGAAATAAGACTAAGAGTCTTACGTAACCTAAGTTACTTATAAGAGAAAATTAAAGTTTCTAATAGCTTATGCATGTAGCATATAGAGAACAAATAAGAAAATCATGTTAAATGAGGGAAACAATCTAAAGAAAGTCACGGTTCCTTGTAGTATTGTTGTAGACGTGATGCCTTTAGAAAACAAGATGTGTCAATTTGGAAACTAGCCAAACAATGGACTCAACCTTCCAAATCCCAAAGCTTTAGAGAAAGAAATGCTTTAAGTTTTATTTTGCAAGGTGCTATTTTGTTCTTATTTGATTAATGTCTCAATTCAATTCAATTAAAGCCTAGGAGCACAGATCTAGTACAAGGGAGAGAGACAAGCAGATTCCTGGATCTTTTCCTGTAAGCCTACCACACCCTGGAAACCCCAGGACTCAGTGAAATATCCTGTCTCAAAAACTAGATGGATGGTTCTTCTTGAAGAAGCAAATCTAAGGTTGACCTCTGGACTCCAAATGTGTACATACACACACTCACATACACAAACACACACACACACAAATGAGAGAGAACAGACATAAGAGAGAGAGAGAGAGAGAGAGAGAGAGAGAGAGAGAGAGAGGGA